CCCAGGCATTGTCTCTGTTTTTTACCAAGGAGCACAAGAAAAGTCCCTGGCCCTTAGCTAGAAGTAGACTTAAAAGTAATTTTACGTCTGACTAAACATTAATGTGCTCAATATTTTATTGTTTGTTTGTTATTTCGTACTTTTGCCGTATCATGGAGTATTTTACTTTGCAAAAAGTCCAAGACACTGAGTTGATTATGCGGGAAGCTTCAAAAACTTTTCGGCAAGCTGCAATTTTTAAATGGTTTTGTTTTTTGGTTTTGGGTAAGTGAACAATAAATAGCTGGGATCAAGATTTCACTTTCAAGAGTAGGGGAACAGATTGTTGGATTTAACATTTGAAACCTACTTGATGTGTTTCGATTAATTATATTGGTTTGCTTCAGATTATATTTGTGTATATTGTATCTAAGAACAGCTATTGATATTTAATAAATCCGTTATGTTTTCATAAAAATATTTGCAATCCTATTTTAACTAAACATACATTTCAATCTCTTCAGAGTTTAAAACGATTTTAATAAATCTGAACTAGAGTGACATTAATATTAATCAGTCCGCCAGACGTCTACCATTGCGTTTTTAAATAGTCTCAATATGATTAAACACTAGTCACATTTTTATACCCGTTACTCGTAGAGTAAAAGGGTATATTGTATTCGTGCAAAAGTATGTAACAGCTAGAAGGAAGCGTTTCCGACCCTATAAAGTATATATATTCTTGATCAGCGTCACTAGCCGAGTCGTATAGCCATGTCCGTCTGTCCGTCTGTCCGTCTGTCCGTCTGTCTGTCCGTCCGTATGAACGCTGAGATCTCGGAAACTATAAAAGCTGAAGATTGGCATTTTGCATGCAGATTCTAGGAGTTCCTACGCGCGCAAGTTTGTTTCAAAAGGTGCCACGCCCCTTTAACGCCCACAATCGCTTATATACGATACATTTAAATATTTCGGAAAAGTAAAAATGCAGTTTTATTGTGTTTATCAATACCTATCGAAATGTAGAAGAAATTTTTCAAATCGGACCATTCATTAAAAAGTTATGCGTGATCAAAGTTTCTATCTCCATCTCCCTCGCACTCCCTTTACCTGAGTAACGGGTATCTGATAGTCGGGGCACCCGACTATAGCGTTCTCTCTTGTTAGGTATGGTACATTCAATTGATTTTGTTTCACAATTTATAACACATTTCGAAAAGGTTCTTTTAAATATTTATATTTCTTTGCTTAAAAATTAGCATTTTTTTAAAAACTTTTTTGTTATTAATAAACAAGTGAATGAGTTCTGAAACAAACAATGTTGTCTTCGTATGACTTCCATTGAACTCCCACCAAAATCGAAACCGAATTTAGCTACCAAAGCGAACAGAAGTTGACCACAAGTTGCCTTTCTCTTGGCCAAATGTTAATTTGGCTTGTCTTGCACTTCAGTCGAACACCTTTTTCGGAACTCTTGGCCGCCCACAATGCATGTGGGGATGTAGCTCAGATGGTAGAGCGCTCGCTTAGCATGTGAGAGGTACGGGGATCGATGCCCCGCATCTCCAATTGGATTATTTCCTTTTTTGCCAAGTAAAATACGCAGACGTCGACAGTTTTGTCTTTTGCATGATAGGGCTTATATGTCGGGGGAAGAAGTTGCCACTAATGAATATTCAAAGGTTTCTTTGTAGCTGCCAAGCGAGCATTATCCGTGGACTCTCATATCCGCATCCCTTATATGCCGCCCCCATGTCGACAATCAAGACGCGTAATTTGATTTGCGCCCTCATCACATCATTACACTCAGAGCAAAAGTGGATTCAGATTAATTAGGTACACATACAGTAACATTTTCGAAATGAGAAAGTTATGTTTATGTTTGAATTTTTAAGCGAAAGAGTTGTATTTCAACCGATTTAATTAAGTACTAAAGTATTAAGGTCCGATTTCTTAATATTATATCATGACAGAGAAATTAGTTAGTACCAACAGACCAACTGTTTGGAACCCCACAGGCTTGCTTTGTGTCTGCTGTCACACAAATTAATGTGTGAACATCGTTCCTATTGTTTTGAATCTTTTTACTAAACAAATTCTACATTAATGGCTTGAGAATATAACAAGAAATGCATTTATTAATTGCGATCCAAGATAACTTTTAATTCAGATTAAAATGTAAGGAACCACTTATTGTTATTTTTCAAGTGTAGTTCGAGGCCTGAGGAGATGGCGAACACATTGTCGCACATAAATCAGCACAATATGCCAATGTTTGTTTACTTTCCTGCATCGCAGAGAACTTTGCCAGCAATTAACCAGACAGCCGCAGCAGTCAGAACAGTCAGCACAGTCGGAATCTGGATGGGAAACTGAATCGGTGCAGGAGTTGGGATTGTCAAAGGGAGGAAAACATAGCTCAGGACGCCACGGGTAGCTTCAGAAACTCCTAGGTGGCTGGTATTGGTGTTGTAAATGATACATGATGTGCTATTTATGAGCAAAAGCTTTTGTTTTAATTTTTCCCTAGCCTGGCTTTGCATTTCACAGTTTCAGCCAGGAGGACAAAGTTTTTCTCGTAAGCTAGTTAAGCCATTTCTGTTTTCGTGTCGTTGGTAAAATTTATGTATTTATTTCTAGATTTTTAATTGTTTTAAGTGTTTGGCACGGCAGGGATTGTAACTGTTTATTGCAAATAAAAAAGTATTTTGGAGATGCGGGGCATCGATCCCCGTACCTCTCACATGCTAAGCGAGCGCTCTACCATCTGAGCTACATCCCCTTGTTATGATTTCCTGCAAAATCGTTCAATATCGACTGCTGGACTCACTCAAAGGTTGACAATTACCTGTAGTTTACTTCAATTGGTATGCAAGTCGACAAATGACCTGGTTACAGTTTCGTAGGCCAAGTCCGAACTGGTTTGCAGCTTAACTTTGTTTGGGGTGTGGCATTTGAAAGACATGACCAAGCTTTAATTAAAAGACTGGGACGCAGATCAAAAGGGGGTCCAAGTATTGTTTTATTGTTGTTGATTGATACAATGAAAATACTGAATTGGTTTCTGACACTCGAGACTGAGATATCGTATACGATAGATCTATAGATCTGTTCTTCTATAATTTTTTAAACACCAAAAAGAAGTAGTCAAAACAAAAATCAAAATTGACCTTATACTTTTGGGAACAGGAAAAAAAATCAAAAATTTTTCCTTTCGGTATTTCTCAAAATATTAATATGCATAACACATAGCGGAAAGAAAAAATAAACTTGAGAAAATGTATGCAGTGATGAGTGAAAAAGGATGCCACTGAGTCCTGTTTGGTCCCAACTCAACCCCGGCAGAATCAACAATAACACGTTCCCTTATCGGAACCGGAAACGGTTCTCAAGAAAGAGAGGCGGAAAGTGTCCACAAAGTCACGGTGGCGTATGTGACAAGTCCTTTCTAATGAGCAGGAAGAATACACGTAGACAAGCAAGAACCTACTGCTCAAATCAAGCCAAAAAGTCGCCTTCAACTAATAAACTTCTCCCTGGTCCAAAGTCAATTAAAAAAGGAACAGAAATTGTACGTGACACCCAGAGATAGACAGCCCAAAAAAGGCATGGAAAGAAATGTAGATGGAATGAGTTGCTCCTCAAGCTGAAATACTTGAACTAAAAAGTCGCAGACTGTCTTGAAATTAAAATTACACGACGCTTGAATAACTTTGGCTGTACTTCCACCCCACTTTCGTTCCGCTGGCAGGTAAATGCTGACAAAAGTTTTTGAGGTAGCATTTCTTTTACAATTCGCCAGAGAGTGGAAGCAGCTAGGAAGAAGTGCCACTTGCTACGTTTGTGTCATTAATTTTGTATATCATTGAGTTTTACGAGGCTCATAAATATGAAAACGTTTAACTCTTGCTGGCTGAAAACAAAATTCGGCTCAGGGGAATCCCTTGTCCCGTTTTATATGAGACAAACTAATTGTCTTGTACTTGTAATGTGTTTTTAAGCACAGCCACGCTTCCCACATGTTTTCACAATGTTTCCCCGATAAGCAAGGGGGTTCGGGATTTCGGAGCAGGAGTTATAACAATTAGTGGGGTGACTTGAAGGGTTCGCCTCCTTTTCCTGTGTGCAACAGCTTGAGGTAATTTTCAACTTTTACTCTTTGTTTTGGCGTTGACAAGAAGCGTGTTGTTTGTTTGGTTTTAATTAAAGCCCAAAACATATCAAACATATCCTGGAAGGATAACCGCTTCCATCTCAGCTTCACTCAAGATAGAGAAATATATGTTTGCAGCATTAAGGTTTGTCATGTCAATTTTAGCAAATTTAAATGTTTTAACTAAAGGAGCTTCCTTAATTATTTATTAAGATTTTATATGATGCATTTTGTCATTTATTTTCTATCGTTACAATATGTTTAATTTTTTTAATATCGATTTAATTATTTACACTAGATGGCCAAAATTAGTAAAAAGGATTCCAATATATTTTCATAAGCAATATTTTAAAGTGCTACGGTTTAGCTTTATTTATATTCTCTTTAACCCACAGGACTAAAACATTCTTATTTTTAATTAGTTCATGTTACAAATGACATTAACGAAAAAGGCAACGGCAAAGATTTGTGGTCGTATATTTTAGCATTTCTTAACGAGATTTTTCGAGGAGGAAAAAACAAAAGACCAACGGAATTCGCACCTTTGCATACACAAATAGCGAGAGGGAAGTTTTTGGTGTGGGATGTGCTAAGAAATGCGGATGGGGTCAGGAGTACTATGGTTATAAATTTTAAATCTGTTAAATTAATGCAGCAGCTTTCTTTCATTTCTTCGTCCGTTTTCTTACGTGCCAGAAAGTTGCGAGTAAACTTCGAGCACGTTGCTTGATTACATTAATTATTCCTTTATTGTTTGCAAAAGTTTTCACCTTTTTTGGCGGTTGCGTCGTTGTGTTTTTGAAATGCATCTAATTGTAATTAATTAGAAAGAGTTTACTTATAATGTATGTTTTTTCTTGTCTTACAGTGGTCCTTTTAACCATAAAGTGGTAAGTAAAGAAAACCCTTAAAAATTGTTAGCTCTAACCAACCAAAATGTTGTAGTGGTCTAATTATAATCAAAGGCATTCACCCTATCCACGATCAAACTACGGAAATCGGGAACACTCTGATAAGCATAACTCAAATCAGCACCGCCAGGAGAGAGATAAAACTAAGAGAACTGATTTTCAGGAGAGGAGCACCAGATATCCCGATGAAAGCCATTCCGGCAGATACAGGAATTATCACTTCAGGGACCATTACCATAGATATCAGCCCAGGAGGAATGAAAGTAGTTCCCATAAATCGTCTTTTAATAATGAAGATAGCAGCTCTCATCTAAGCGAAGCCTCAAGTGACATTATCAGCAATAAAGAAACAACCTGTGAGACAAGTAATGACGCTTCTACAACCGAACAAGTAGAGGAGAATGAAACTGGAAACCATCGGAATCCATCTGAATCAAAAGAGCAAAGAAACATTGCTTCGCCAAATGATAATCACTCCACAGAAGTCAATGGGTTAAATAAAAGCACCGTTCATACCAAGCCTATCAGTGAATCAAAAGATACTATCGCTGAACAGACTTCATGGAATACTCCTAGTAAGGAACAGAAAGAACAGAATCAAAGCGAGGAAGAGGAGCCAACCGTCAGCCGATGGCTGAGAGAAGAATTAAATCTGTCCAAGTCCAGTGAAAAAAACTCTGAAGCAGAGGCTAGTCAATTATATCCACGTATCCAAGTGCGACCTCTTACCCAACTATTGAAGCAAGAGATCTTGGCAGTCACCCAAGAGAATCGTCTATCCAAGAGACCTCTGCTAAGTCCGCCTCCATCCGCTTACCCCGCCAGTCCCGGTCGACTGGCCTTTAAACCAACCCTCAGAAGCCGCCGGCGGACAGTGAGCAACTGTAACCATGTGGCAGGAAGTCCCAGTACTAGTCAGGCCGCGGGAAATGAAGCAATCATCAATAATCGCATCGCTAGTATGGACAAGGAGAGTCTTAAATACATAATCAATAATAGCGACACTATATATGACGAACACTTAAAACTCCAGGCCCGGAGACGTTTACGCGACGAAATTCGTCGACAGCTCAAGAACATCGAGTTGGATCAGCCGAAGGATAATCCGGTAAAAGAACTGGTCGAGGACGAAATTGTGGATGCTATTAAGTTGCCCGAGTTTTTGCTGCAGGAGATCGAAAAGTGTTTTGGCATAGACGTATCAGAAGGTCAAATAATCCAAACTTCTGAAAAAGATAAACAAGATACATCAAAGAGTAAAAACAATGAAAATAAAAACGAAAGTCCTGTAAAAGAATGCGATGACTCTGAAAAAGAAACTGTTACTAATTCAGAGGTTAATAGACCTGAGGTCTTACAAGAAACTGAAGAAGGGAGTAAAAATATAACAACGAACGGTAACAAAACTAAGCAGACTATCGAAGATAGCAAACTATGCATTGAAGTTAAGAACCGTAAAAACAAAGAGCAAGATAGTATAAGTGAAAATGAAGATAGCAGTGCACAAAATAAAGAATCTGTCGACCTTAGACCAAATAGCAAAGAAATTAGTGAAGATGGTATTGATAAGTCTATAAAATCAACGAACAGCAAGAATGAAGTCTTACAAGAAAATAATAAGAAAAAAAGTCCTAAAAAATATGTTAAAAAAAGGGGTAAAAGGCTAAAAGGCAAAGGTAAACAAAATATCAGAACAGATATCACCCAGTCCAGTCCCAAACGAGAAACCCATACTGTAGTCGAAGAACCCTCCGACTCGATGAAGCGGTCTACAGACCTAATAACAAGACTAAAAGCAACTGATAAGGTCAAAACAAATGAAGGGTTACAACTTAATAGGAATCGTCCGCCCTTGCTGCCGACCCCAACAAGTGGAAGAATTCTAACTACCTTAAAATGCAAAAACTCTAAATCAAGTCAATCACAAACAACAAAATCAAAAAACTTGGCTGGTAAAAGTTCTACATCTGAGATCATGACACCCATCAAAATAGAAAGGGAATCTAGCAGCTCACCAATAACAGTAAATCCTTTACCTACAAAGGATATTATTGAGCTCTTAAGCTCATCTGATGAAGAAGAGGAAGAGCACAATGTGGTGAATATGGATTTAGATGAACATGATGAAGAAATTGTGACTAATAGTAAAGAACAGGTTTCGGAAGCATTACCAGAACCTGACCAGAATATGGAAGATGTTGCTAGTGATCATTCTACCAGCTCCCAGTGTAGCAGTGAATCTACGAAAAGGCGTCGAAGGCTCAAGCTTCAAACCGATGCGGAAAACGTGGTGGACAGCTTCGAGAAGCTAATCCTTCCTCATCTTCGGGAAGCTCTTTCAGATCGGTATCGTCGCCAGCACTCTGGTAGCTTGCAGAGCCGTCTACACTTCATCTCCTGTGTGGTGACAAGCTCAGAACACAATTCGCAGAGCTTTAGCAAAATTGAGGTGGCCAAAATGCAGATGAATCTCAAAGCTGCCGACAATCGCCAATCTATCGAATTTCTCTTGAGGGAGATCGTTAACGTGGTAAACCTGCAGAAACAGCGACGTCGGGACCAGGAAGAGGAGCATAAGTTAACAAATGAGTTGAGTCCCAAAACAACTGAATCCCCACCTGAGAAAAACTCAAGGACTTCATCATTCCCGCCAGTGCGCCCGGTTTCCCCAGTTCTAGAAGGCCGCCAGAGCTCAATAAACTCACCCCTTCCTCAGGGCTCTCCAGAAGTTTCCCCACGCAAGATTACTCAATCTTCTCCTGCACGCCAAAGTGCCCAACCCGTCAATCCTATCCCTTCTATTGAAATTCCTCAAACTGTGGTCAACCACCAGATTCCCGAGCCTTTTCCGGTTGGTCTGCCGTTCTTGGCCCGTTTTTCGTCTGGTGGTTATTCTCGTCCAGGTGGTGAAGCCGATATGGCCGAGTCTTTGGGCCCATTAGGCGACATGGTGGCCCAGAATCTGGTTGACATTGATCGCCGCCTGCTGGAGAACCAAAACCGTCGCAGCATTCTCGAGGAGATGATTATGAAGTTTCAGAAGGAGAAATCCGACCTGGAGATGCTCAGTCTAGAACTGCAAAGTCGAAAGTTTCTATTGATTAACTCGATGATTTCCCGAGGCCAGGCTTCATCTGCGCCAGTCGTGAACCCTAGAAGCTCACCACCTCCAGCGGCTTCTACTCAGGAAACAACTCATGAGGAGAGTGCTGCCAAAGGGGGGATAGCCAGGCGAACTAGGAGCAGAACCAGATTAAGAAGAGCTGTGGTGGTAAAACTAATGCCCAAACGTCAAGTGAGGGTTCAGAAACGTGTTCTTAAAAAACCCAAGTCGACCGAGCTATTAGCTGAATTGCAGCAAGAAATTGCTGATCAGGAGAAATCTAAGGAAACGAACAAAGAGCAAACTAAAGAAAACGAATCTGGGTCGAGCATTCTATCAAATATCAAGGAAGAGCAGTTCGATGACTCAATATATGACCAAGTAGCCGATTCTGAGCCCACCGCCAAACTCACGCAATCGCGTCCTAACAAACAGAAAGTTTGTGTATCAGCCAATCCGACTCATCAACCACTAGCTATAATACCACCGCTACCACCTCCTCCACCGCCTCCTGAACCGATCTGTCAAATGGCCGACAAAATTTCCCGCAATTTCACTAAGGAACTATTGCGCGAGCCTCAACGCTGGTCGGAACTTAACTCCCAAGAAAGGTGCAGCGTGGGCTTTATACCCATGGGAAAATTGTACAAGGTTTTGAGTCCAATCACCCAAATAAAAATCTACAAAGAGTATGTCATAGCGGCAGCAGAAGATGGGGATATCTATATGTTCCACTTGATCAGTCACAAACTGGAGCGTAAGATCACCAAACACAGCGAAGCCATTACGAATATGTTCCTCTGTGAGAAGGAGTCCATTCTCTACACCACATCGCTAGATGGCTTTTTTAAAAAGTCTTCGCTGGAGGTGGGTAGATATTTCCTTTTAGTGAACCATTTAATAAATTTCTAACGGAAAACGTTTATAGAATCTGGAGCGGGTTATAGAAACGGTGTACTTCAAGGAGCCCCTGCAATCAATCGACATCTCTTGGGGTTTGGCCTTTATCGGCAGCCGATGGGGACTTATTTCCACTTTCAATGTGGTGGTAAGTATGAATTTAATTGACTATTTATAATTAAATTATTACTGTCATCCCAGACGAGTATATAGTAGACGAGTATTATAGTTAGTTCATAGTTTTAAAACTTAAGCTAGCTTTATATAAATAAATAAATAAATTGACTATTTATAGAAAATTTTAAAAATATTTTATGTTGACTAAAAGTTACTAACACCTAAAATTAGCGCATATATCTTGACAATTTATAATTTCTTAAGAATTTTTCGTACATCTTAAAATATTCCAATAAAATTTCTCAAACAAACCCATAACTCATTGGGCCTCTCATCGTGTGGAGGTCAATCAATTGTCTCTCAATATATTTTCCCCACTTAATTTGACTCATTAAATATTTATCTGTCAAACAAACACTTGAACAATTTCAATTAAAATATTGAGCTTCGACTCGCGAGTCCTGCTAAAAGGACAGCCACACACAGGACGATTCCACACCTTGCCTTGCAACAACACCAGAAGTTAACGAATTGGCAATGAGGATAGCCAAAAACGAAAGTCTAGACAATGGAAATCAAATCGAATTTATTTTTCCTTTTTTTTTACTCTCGCGAATTTTACAGGAAGGAGAATGGATACGTAAAAAGGGAGTTTGCTTCTGAGTTGATACTTCATTAGAATATTTCACATTGAAGGTAGAGTAAAGCTATAAGTCTTAATTCTGGCAGAAATTCGATTTATGGCTGCGACGTGCTGATAACTCTTGGCTCGAATTTTCACTGCGTTTATTTCTTTTGTGCATAACTGTACTTGATTAGGAGAGGAGGAGAGGAAAAATATGTTTTATTTAAACTGAGTTAGTAGATAAGGTGGTGAGAAAGAGTTAATGTTAAGCTGTAACTATAAATAAGAAAGTGCAATTGTACTTTTATTATGACGTTGGAATAGAGAAAATGGTACTTTTTATTAAATATAATTTGAGTAATAAAAAGAAAAATTAACTAAGACTGAAACGAATTTAATTATCATTTTAAGTTTAGGGAAATCACTATCGTAATAGTGGGGGCAATTGTACCCTACCCTAAACATAAGAAGGCGGAGGCAAGTGTGCTTTAATTTATTACCAAGGGGGATGGACATCTACGTTTTTAACTGATTGAGGAAGTGTGGGACTGTACCTGTAGTTGTATTGCAGATGGAGGCAACTGTACACCCGACTGTAGTGTAGATGGTGGGCACTGTACTTAAATCTGTGGTAGGTTCAGTCTGAAGCTTTGGTTATTTGGTAAATATACGAAGACGCCACGCCCCAAATGGCTGGAACCACATAGAGGGCGTTACTGCTAGTGCAGTTTTTTGCAAGCCTTGCTGCTATTGCTTGATATTTAGCTTTCCCTGGTGTTTTGTGTTTTATTTCCGTGTTTGCTGCTCGTCGTTTGGCCGAGGACTACGAGATCTAGGAGTATATAGCCTCCTTGCTAAGACTATGTATATATATATATAGTATCAGGGCTGGGGGTTAGTTGCAACAAACAACAGCAAACTGCAGCACTTCCTGATGTCTCGCTCCCACACTCATTGGGTAGAAGGATGTTGCTTCCTTGCTCGCTCGTTCTCTCTCACTCCCCAGTGCTCTCTATTGTTGTTTATTTAAGTTTTTATGTGTGCCTGTTTAGTTAACGGTATATTTTGCCGACACTCACTCTTCCCTCTCTCTCTATTGCGTTTTTTCTGCGCATGTCCTTGCGCTGCACTTCACCGTTAGTTGCATACAGTTACTGCCATTCGTTAGTTTTTTGGCAGCAGCAAATAAAATGTTTATATGCTATTTACCCAAAACAATTTTAAATAAAATACAAGCCGACGAGTCCACTACGAAGCTCTCTTTTTCCAGGACTCAGACGAATAACAAAGCTGCGTTCTCTCTCGCTCTCTCTCGATGCAGAAAGTAAAAGAGAGGAGCCTGCCTTCCAAGGAGCTGCAATTGGAATTGTCTTCGTGCCTGTTGCTTCCGTTCTCTCTGTTTCTCTCGCTCGTCCTCACAGCTCCTGTTTTTGTTGTTGTTGTGGCGTGGGATTTTCTTGCTGGTTGGCTCCTGTTTTGTTGTGTTGTGTTTCTGGAAACTGACGCCCTGTCTATGGCTTGTTGTTGCTGGTGCGCTCGTTCCGCTCTCCCATTGGCTGATTCGGCCAAATCGGGTTGGTTGTTTGTACCGTTATGTGTGGCCTCCCCACCTTCCGAAGAGACTTTAACTCTTTTTTCGTGTTTATGTGAGCTTTTCTATTGTTGTTAGCCGTGGCAAATTGCATAGGATAGTTGGGTGGGTGTGGCAATGTGGGATATCTCCAGGAGTCTGCAACCACTAAATCAACTCCCCAACTGCCCCCAAAAAAACACTTTATTTGTATTTTCATTGCTTGCACATTGCGCTTGGCCGCCATCTTGCCGAATGGCTGAAGACATAACGGTAGACAAAAGTGCACTACATCCTTCTATCCCTCCCCGATTTCGATGGGCTATGTACATATATAAATATTATTGCAAGCGTTTTTCATTTTATGGCGTTTTAATGGGTTTGGGTACACAGTTTGTTCTTTGTTTAAAGATATTTACTAAGAAAATTAATATTTTAACTGAAACTGCTGTTAAATAAAGTAGAATACTATTTAACTGTTTTGAACATTTCCCCAATAAATTTCAATAAAGTTCTGCCTCGATTTAAGCAATTAATTAATCCCGTTGTAAATTCGATTTGTTCTAATGTTTTATTAAAAGTGTTTTAAGATATTTTTGTGTATTTTCTTAAATTTATCTCTTCGTTAAATTTTTTTTGTGTTGTTTGTGTTTTTATATAAATTCACATATTCAAACTGCTATTCTAAGCAAATTTTTTTCTCGGTATGTTACGCTTATCAGCTATCTGGGTCCATTGTGAATCCCAAGCAATCATTACCTTAACCAAACAGGTCAAGTATTTCCCCGTTCAGGAATCCCATTTTTACTGTTATCTCTGTTTGAAAGTCATATAAATAGGCGCATCCGAAGACTCCACAGCAGAATTATAAAATACCTCTTTTACATAAAGTGAATCAAAATGAAAGTACTGCCAATTTTCGTTATCCTGGCGCTCGTCATCTGCGCTGCGTGCAAGAATCACGAGGAGTGGAAAGGACAACGACCAGGGGATTATGATCGCAGACCCTATTCCAATCCTTATGCCTAATAAATCTTTGGAATAAATCAAGCTGTATACGAGAAAGATGAAGATACAATTTTGAGTTTTAAATAATAGAATGGTTGGTAATTAAAATACATTTATAAAAATTAAAATTGGAAAATAAAAAAAGAAATTTCTATATCAAATAACATTAAACAAATAAAAAAGTACTCATCAGAAACTATAATACAGTTTTCACCATATAATACAATTTATAGATAACAGGCTTATCTAATCATAAAATAAAATGATAAACTGAAGACTCGTTCATATACAAAAATATATATCTATATACAAATATATAAATAGTTTTCACAAACACATTGTCTATTTATATTTATACAGCACAACAACATTTCACTGCGGATTTCTTTATTCAGACCGTTTCATTTTGTGTATAGGGTACGTACTTGCGTACAATGTCATGACAATGCACTTGGGGAATTTTAATGAGCACGTAACTACTACAGTATATGTTAAACCAAAGTCAGTAAATTGTTACCAAAACTTCTGAGGGCCTCTAAAAGAGGTAAATTAACAACGGGGATGTAGCTCAGATGGTAGAGCGCTCGCTTAGCATGTGAGAGGTACGGGGATCGATGCCCCGCATCTCCAAAGGATATTTATTTTGAATTGTATTTTCATAAACCCTTTTTTACTTATCGGAATTATTTATTTGTAAATTGGCTCTGCTAGGTGCCTTTCAAAGTGTTTCTGAATCTTTTAAGCCTTTGAAACAATAAGTTGGCTATTTTTAAAAGCTTAACCCCATATATTTTCGTAGAAGCACCAAATTGACTAGTTTAGCCATAGTAAAAAAAAACTTAAAATCAAAACCATTGAATTATTCTAACAATCCATACGAATAGAATTTCAGAACATCTCTAATCATTTTATACTGATATAAAATGTATATGAGTGTTTTAAAAATAAATCTTATATAATTAAATACGTATTAAATCAAATAATAATAAAATCATAACACTTACAATTTTCAGACCAACAAGGTGATGGATAAGCCTTTAGTTTCGACCGGCCAATCCATTATTGCCATTAAAGCCACCAAGGAAGGTGTACGAAAGATCCTTGTTCTCGGATGCAAAGGAAACTTTGTACAAATGCATGATGCTGGCAATGGCTTACTGCTGCGTCGCATATGCATTCCAGAAGGGTTGAATGTCTACAGTTTGCTTTTAAATGATGGTCACATATACTGTGGCACCCAGAAGAATGAGATCTATCAGTTGGAGTTTGTCGTAAGTGGATGTCAACGACTATCAGTTGGTCCAATAATGATTTGTCCTTTTAGACTGGTAACTTGATCAACAAGTTAAGCTGTGGCAATGGCGCTGTATCTATAGTTACCTACAAAGAACGTTACTTGCTGACTGGCTGCTACGATGGCTTCATTTATGTCCTGGACAAGGTGACAGGAACTCAAGTGGGTCGTTTTGAGGGCGCTGGCCGGTTGGTTTTGGCGTTGGCAGTAGCAGGCGACAAGGTAATTTAATTATTATGACATAGTAACTCGTAATTAACATTACTCACTCTTATTGTACAGATCGTCACATCTTCGAAAGATAACTCGCTGGAAATACTGGAAGTGCCCGCCGCCATGGTAAATGGCCATTGAGACGCTTATTATTATTTGTATAGATCAGTTTAATTTAATAATTTTACACACACTTGTTTTTATAATACAATTCAATGAACTTAATCTTTGATCGCGTAATGAGGATTTCGTTCTCTGTATTTACAGTTGAATATTTAATTTTTTTGTTAGCGCCCAATTGCATTTTTGCAATGGATCTATTTGAAGAATATTTCTTCGTCGTGAACAAAATGTTTAAAAATAAAAAGAGAACCACCAGTAAAAATATTATAATACGTAAAAACAATATGCAGTTGTCTTTAAGGAATTTGCGGAGACCTTACTGGTCGCACGTTGGTCTGCATTTGGTGCAATTTCTGGTTAAGCTTGTGCGTATGGTCGCGTAGATAGGCGATGAGGTCGGCCTGTTTCTCTAACAGTTCTTCGGTATCGCCTCCGGGTTGCATGAGGCCCAAAGAACCACCGGCACGGTCCGAACCACGCAGAACATCCGGGGACAACTTGGCGTTGTTAAATTTACGGACTTTGTCTGGAATGTGTATGGAAAATCGGTATATGCGTTTAGTAAAAAAGAGGAAGTTTGGAGCAATTCTGTTATGGTCCTATTTTGGTAAAAGCTAGACATTTTTTAAACTCTAATCTAACATTTAAGAACTGATTGAATGATTTCAGTCTACCACGTATTCGCTCTAAATTAATTTAAATTATAGAAGCTTTTCTGACTCATTAATTGCAAAAAATAAAACAAAGGAAAAATGGTACGATCGAACAATGGGCATCTGTTCTTGAAAATACTTAGAAAACGGAAAATACATCATGTGGTAATTAAATAGTGACTAGTATTTAATAACCACAAACTTAAGGAATTATGTACGTTCTTAAATCACTTATTTTGAAGAATGACATCATGTGGTAATTAAATAGTGACTAATGACCAAAAGTCATTTTTCAAAATAAGTAATTTAAAAACATATTGCCTTAAGTTGGTTACCTTTCTTAATCTATAATAATTTAGAATATCTTCAGAAATAAGGCAGAACTAAGCAATTTATAATGTAAATTTTTAAGCCTATAATTTAAGTAATGTAGAGTATTAAAAAAGGGGCTTGTAGTATAGGGACTACACGGGATTACTATTACTGTTATCACCAAATATATTTCCGTAGCCCGGCATACTTTGCCAGGATCCTTACCAATGTATAAGCTGTGTGATACGGCGAACACCAGATTCTCGGCCACGGTAAATGCGGTCACATAACTGACCGGCGAAAGCCATCCGGCGGCGCAGTGCTCCCAGAAGTTCTGCGCGTAGAAGTGGTGGATCAGGGACTGGACGGCCAGCAGCATGGAGTTCCACATGGACACCAGTTGAAGGGGAATCCCCTTCTGCATGTTTGTCTCGCGGTGGAAATCATGATAGCCCTGCATCCGCAGATTGTCGTGTTGCTTCTTCACAAAGTGATCGAAGAGCTGAAAATGATTGACATTGAGGCAGGTCGGGGACGAAAGAGCTACAATATAGTTACATATGTGATGACCCAGAAGGTGGCCCGTAGATACAGCATTATGAAGTAGGCATCACAGCGCCGATCCTCTGGAAACGAGGCCGCCAGTACGATGCCCACAATCGAGATTCCCGTGGAGATAACGAGGTGAAGGCTGCGAAAAGATGAGAAATGGGTTTTATTACGTGCATTATCGCCTTGTTGGAAATGCGATGGATGATTCACTGCCGGCGGCAGAAGTCTCCATACCCCCCAAAGTATCCGGCTCCCCCCGAATTGCTCACCTAAATGCGGGCACTGTGTTCAGCTTGAAGCTCCCATTGTCATTGGAGAAGAGAACGGGGTCCAGGAGCTGATCTGAATCGTGGATGTGGACGGGGGACACGCCCGGTTGGACAGCGGCTCCCTCTGTCGCTGGTTGCTCCATTTGCGCTGCTCTACAATGCGTAGTTTTCGAATAGATTCTGCTTTGTTTATTGAGGCCGCAGGAAAACAACTTGTAATTTCCTTAGGTGGCAGCACCAAAACACCAAATTTCACTCAGGTGGCAGCTCTGTGACGTCCAAGGGCATCTTGGCAACCCTGTTATGTCAACAATGAACTACTGTTACAATTTGAAAAAACTTAAGCATTATTGAATATGTTTGTATTTTTGCTTTACGAATTGTTAAAGCGTTTTCTCGCCCTTTGTTAGTTATTTTGGTTTGCTTGAATTGACTTGATTGGATTTATTAATAGGCGCTTATACACATATCTAAAAAATAAATGTTTTTTCGCTTCACAACTATTATAATTGTATTATTTTATAAATGAATAATAAAATATATATATTTTTGTTTTTGTTTATGATTTCTCTGTTATTATTAATTAAAAATTTATTTTAGTTCTCTCTTAATTAGGTATTTATTTTTATAATTAACTATTTAAAGGCCTTTAGGTATATTTTCAGCGCCCTTGGGATTTTTTAAAGTTTACGCTCCGGTCACACTTAAATAAAAAACAAATTTAAACCTCGCATTTAAGCAATTGGATTTTTATGTTTGTCGGGTAGAATAAAGGAGATTGTAAGATGACCACGCCTGTGCCGCGTCGCACCAAGGACATGGTGGCTTTGGGACTAGATTCCGACTCGGAGGACGACTTTAATACTCCATACCGACCGCAGCGATCACGGCCAGCTGCGGCAGGAGAAAGAAAACAGCAGCCGGTGGCGTCTTTCCAAATCCAGGCGAGGGGCAAGGAGAACGAACCACATCCTGTGCCCATGGATATGCTGTAAGAACCGGGCTATCCTTCGTGGATGGTTTTACATCCGACTTATCATTTGGTTTAGCTTTAGCTTATCTTGAAGGATCTCATTTCACCTCAAGGGCTTCTTTTTCCATGCTTTTCACTCGAAAATTTTTTTTTAAATGGTTTCCCCATTTTTAAATGAACTTGTTCCTTAAAAGCTCTCCCACCCTAACATGCTTTTTAAAAACATGATATTAATACTAACTTGGTTTTCAGGAAATTATCTGATGATCTTATGATTAAAGAACTATTTCAGAATCTCGATTTTCGTTTTTAATTTGTATTTCAATCCGGATAATCCCGATACTAATGTTGGTAACCAAAAACTGCTTACATAAAGTTTTTTACATCTAATTTTTTCTTTAAATTTGATAAATTCATATAATTTTATTTATATTTTGTAGTCCTCGCCGAGTATCGGAATTAACGATGATGGATTCTGACAGCGAGGAGGAGGACGTCAGGAGCAATCACAACCTTAACTGCGCCATTTTAAACGATTCCTTCGTATTAAGCCCCTCCCAAGAATTAACAAACAGCAATGGCAACATAACTCGTCGATCACCTGCCGCCGTCCCTCTCAAGCAATCCGATTCGAATCTCTCGTTCCTGGGAAGATTTAACAACATGGGCATTAATTGCAACAATCAGGGATCTCCAGTTGCGAAGTCTGAGAAGCAAGTAACTAAGAAGCCAGCGCCCACAATCCAAGCCGTGTCGGAAAGGATCCCACTCCAGGACACTGAAACGCCACTGCGCAATGAGATCTCCTCCTCAAAACCAAAACCGGATGCGGACTTCATCACCCCTCAAGTGCGAACTATTGGATCCACGCTGGCTGGAAAAAGTCGAAGTGTTGTGTCGAATGACTTCCGCGCGCAGAAGGTGCTCTTCCAAACGCCCATGACCGTGAGTCGTGCTGCTCCAGTTGCCTCCGATAGCATAAGCTTCTCGCTGTGCGACACTATCAGCGAGAGTCCCGACATTCCAGTGCCTCCAAAGGCAGATCCTCCGAAAAGTCAGCATCAGTCGAAAAAGTCTCTGGATAATGTGTTTCGGGAGTCAGATAAGGAAAGTGCGCCAGTCAACGTTGACGTCGTAGAGCCCAAAGAACAAGTGTCTAATCCAGTAATTACTGTCCATCCGGATCCACCTGCATCCTCCTCCAAAACCTCTAATATACTAAAAATCAAGAATCATGAGTATACGATTGCCAAGAAGCTGGGCTGTGGTGGATCAAGCTCGGTTTATTTAGCTCGTCGCTCGGATTCGGGAGACGAGTTCGCCCTAAAGGTGGTGGACCTGCAGGCCGATCCCCAAGTGGTGCAGGGCTACCTCAACGAAACCAAGCTCCTGGCAAAGCTACAGGGAAACGTCTGCGTTGTTGCGCTTTACGATTAGTAAGTTAAATGATTTTTGCAGAATTTCTACCAATTTAAGGACAACTTTTATTACATGTAAAGCCTTGATGTAATATATTCATAATAGATAATTTATATTGCATACATGTAACATTTTAAATCTGCCATGATTCTTTGGCTGAAGGTATCCATCTTGAATGAAGCTCTTTTTTACAGTCAACTTGTGCGCGAAGAGTCCAAGCTGTATATGGTGATGGAGAAGGGTGATTGCGATCTGAACAAGATCCTGCAGAGCTACACAACCAACCTTCCGCTTTACAGCCTGATGAACATCTTGTATCAGATGCTGCAGGCGGTAAACTACATCCATCAGAACGGTGTCATCCACTCAGATCTCAAGCCGGCCAACTTTCTAATGGTTAGCGGGAGACTGAAGCTAATTGATTTTGGCATCGCCAGTAATATCTCTTTGGACTCGACAAGCATCATAAAGTTTTCGCAGGCGGGCACTTTCAACTACATTAGTCCGGAGGCTTTGACGGACACCTCTACGGGAAACAGTCCGATGCGCGGAGCCAATCAGCCTAAGATCAAGATTTCCACCAAGTCGGACGTGTGGTCGTTGGGTTGCATCCTCTACCTGCTGCTCTACCAAAAGACGCCCTTTGGCCACATCCGGAACATCTATGCTAAGATGAGTGCAATTGCCACTCCGGGCACCAGCATTGAATTTCCCGCAATTCCTCCATACTATCCCGTCATGCTGGTTCATGTGAGTTGGGCAGGATAAGTCTTTCTATAACTCTAATTACTTAATAGAAATTGTAATTTGAAATCATTTTTTAAACTTTACTTTTAAAAAGTAGTTAACCTTTTACAAATTAATATATTTGTACGCTAATGATTGAGGTTTAAATAACTTTAATAGAACTTTCAACCATATTTACAGATGACCAAGAACTGCCTTCAGCTGAATCCCAAGAACCGGCCGTCGTGCACTGAACTACTACAATATCCATTTCATATGATCATTCCGCTGCAGAATTTGCAGATACCCAGCAGTGCCGCCACCAGTAATTAAGCATGAAAGCTCAACTATTTATTAGTCAAATGTCAAAGGTCAAATGTCTTTCTCATATGTGTGTGTATATATTTAATTCTCATTTATCGTAAATTAAACATCATAAATCCTTACAATGCAGCTCATTCTTTTGTGTTTGTTGTGGTTGCTGATGGGCTTGAATTTGTTGGTTTGCCTAATTTCTCAGTATGTCGCATGCAACAGGTTATCGACAATTAATTGCTAAATAGCATTCGTGAGTTTAATTTGCGTTTACTTATAAGATAGTTTCTCTTCCAGTTTTATATAAAAATAGTTATTTTCTTGTTTATATACGCTTAATTAAATGTTGCTGCTGCCGATTTTGGGTTTTTTCTTGGATGTAAATACTTTGCGCTGCTCTGCGGCGGAAAATTAAAAGTACATAGAAACGGAAAAACAACTATGGAAAACATAAAATTCTGAATAACCCAAACACATTGTACATACACTCATACTATTTAGTTTGTTTATTTTTGTGGATTTGCCTTTTAAGTTGATGGGTTTTAAATTCATTTGCTTAACATAAAATACATATAAAATTGTTATTAGCGCGTTTTTAAATGCAAGTGTAACACAAAAATAATAATTGCATGCGATGTGTTCGATAAATAATAATTAGGAAGTAGCAGCAGCAATGGATTTTGTTACTGTTTTCGGGGTTTGTTTTTTTTTATTTTTTTGGGAGTGCTTGGGTGGAAATTGCCTGCTTCTTTTTACAGAGTCTGGCCTTTCCTTCTCCAGCGTTTCTTCTCTTCTCGTTTAACATTGCACAAGTTTCGATTGTTATCATTATCTTGCTTTAGTTATGTATATTTAATTTCTTAAAGCGTTCCGTAGTTCTTCATTATTATAATTGTTGGTTTTCGCTACTACAAAATGTTTAATGTTGCTGTTGTTGTGGGGCATGCTTTAAATTTACTTAATATTCCTCGCCATTATCATGTTACATTAACTTTAAACTTAATAAATTGTTAGAACTTTTTGTTTTTTACTGTTGCTGTTGTTATGGAAGTTGGACAAACACTGCGGTTGCTTGTCAGCTTATCGTCGTTGTTGGCCTCCCTTTTTCCGTTTTATCTTCTGTCTCTGGGAACATTAAATGTCCTGCAAGGAGAAATTAAAGGGTTATTCGATTTTGTATAATGAAATAAATAATCAAAAGAAAATATTTCCTCCATAGCCAATGCTATAATAACCTTGATTTTGCTTTACCAACTAAACTAAGAGTTGGAGTTGGTCTATAGAAATTGTTTGTCACTGATTTTTAAACAATGAATTTGTAACATTTTTCATTTCAATTGTCTCAATAAGAGATAATATAAGTCTTACCTGTTCTCCGTTGGAGGCATGCTGCTGCAGCGTAAGGATCAGCTGCTCTTTCTGGTCGACGATCCCACGCCAGTGTTCGTCCTGCTCGCGAGCACGCTCCTCCAAATCCATCAGCGTGTTAGTCTGTGCGAATGATAGAAAACCACTGAAATATGAATTAATTTTAACAAAGCAGAGGGACTCACCGTCTTTGTGACCAGCTGGGTGAGCTTGTCGTTGCACTCGCGCAGCTGCAGGTTCTGTTTGTGCAGCTCCTGCTGCTCGGCGGCGGAGGAGGATTGGCTATTCGAACTATTATTATTGCTACTAATATTGTTGAGGGTGCTATTGTGGTTGCTACTGCTACTGTTGTTTGATTGTGTGGACTTATGACTACTGCTGCTCTGTTTCTCTGGCTTCTCTGCCTCGAGCTTTTGTCGCAGCTTATCCTGCTGCTGCTTGACATGGGTGGACAGGACCTGTTCCAGCCACTGGTCAAAGGATGCCTGCAGGGCGTTTCCTGACTGCGATTTTACTGCATCGGGATACAGGCGCTGGTATAGATCCCGGATCCTCTGTTGCTCGCTCTTGGCGGAGCTGGCACTTCCTCCTCCATTGGCGGCCACTGCCTTTTGTTGCTGCTGCTGCAGCTCTTTGTGTTGTTGCTATAAAAATTAATCAGTACAACAATTTGTTAAATGATTTAATCTTAAAGGTCTATCAGATAAAATCATAGAGAAAAGCAAAAGGAGCTGCCAGATATCATGCACTTACGCCTACGGATTGCGATGTATTTGTTTTCGTCTTAGCCGTTGCCTTAGCTGTTGATGCTTCGGCATTTTGCAACGCTTCGATCAACTTCCAATTTTTCATACGCACGTCCTGACGAAACACAAATACGTGGCAATTAGTAAAGGATGCTGACAAAAAGGCGAAAGGTTACGGATGCAAAAGACAGAACATACTGCGACAATACTAACGCAAATGTAAACCCATATCGATATTCAATTAGTGAACCTTTCTCATCTTAATATACATTCTTTTGTATATATGATTTGTTTTTAAATTTTTCTATTTACTTAATTTGATTAGTTTCTTGTCATTTTTAAATGCTTAATAAATAACGTTGACATGATACATGATACTTTAGCACACAGCGAGAAGAAAAGCAAAGTCCTAGTTTCTATTCATCTTCACTTACATTATTTTTCTCCCGTTGCTCCTGAAGCTCCTGCTGGAGCTGCTGCTCCTTAGCCTGCAGTTGCTCAGTCCGCTGTTGCGCCTCCTGAAGCTGCGACTGCAAAGCGGTGGCCTGCTTCTGCTGCTGAGCCTGGGCATCCGTCAGCGAGCCAACCTGTGAGCGCAGGGCGCTGAGCTCCTGCTGCTTCTGGGCCAGTGCTTCGTTCTGGACCTGGGCCTGCTCCGACTGGGCGGCCGTGGCCTGAACGGCACTGCTGGCGGCTTGGGTAAGCTGTTGGCTTAGCGCCTGGTTGCTGTTCTCCAGGGTGCACGACTTCTGATGCAACTCCTGCAACTCGACAGCGTGGACGCGCTGTAGCTCCGACTGCGCCTGCGCGACGGCACACAACTCCTGTTTAAGGTCGGCGTTCTCAGCCTCTAACTGTTTTCGCTGCTCCAACTCGAAGATGCTGTTGTTCTGACGAGCTTCCAGCTCGTCGCGTTGCAGCTCTAGGGCCTGCAGTTGCTGCGCCTGCTGCTGGATCACCTCGTTCTTCTGTTGAGTCTCTGCGTTGACAAATGCGGTCATATCCGCCAGGCACTTCTCTTTATGGGCAAGGTCCTGTTGCAAGCGCTGCAACTGTACTAGATCCTGCGAGTTCGCTTGCTTCTCCCTCAAAAGTGTCTAAAATAGAAGGAATGGATTAATTTATATTTAAACTAGTTTATATTTTTAAATCCCGAACTTAAACAAATTAGAATATTTTTAAGTTTTTGTTAATAAAATAATATTAACTGAAAGAAATGGTTTGTTAGTATAAAAATACTGCCACAATTTCAGATTTAGTTTTCTCTTACCTGGAATTGCTGTCGCTCGAGTGCCAGCTTGTCATTTACACTCGACAACTCTTGGTTAAGGGCGGAAAGCTCCTGCTCTTTGCCCTGCAACTTATCGTTAAAGGCCTGGATACGGGCGTGCATCTGGGCGCGCTCCGTGTTGACTTCCTGTCGTAGCTCACGCAGCTTAGCCTGGATGCCAATGGAGGCCTCCTGCTCCTCGGCCAGCAACTTTTCCTTTTCCTCCAGTTGTCGCTTGAGCTTCTGGCAGATATCATCTGACCATTCGGAATGCGAAGAGGGCATATCTTGCTGCTTGTTTAGCAGATAGTCAATGAGTATCTGAATCTCAGAGCGATTTAGCTCGGCACGGGAAAACACGTTCATCAAAGCATTGACGCCAATGGTCTGGTTCTGGTGATCGGCCAGTTTATCCAAAGCCTGAGCCAAATCCTTGGCTGTGAGGGACTCCTTTTGATTTTGTTTTTTGTTTTGCTGCTGTTGCTTGGTCTTATTGTTGGCCTGGTTGTGCTGGGTTTTGGGTGAACCATTCTGCTGTTGCTTGAGGATCTGTTTGGTCACAACGGTTGCCTCGGTTTCGCCAGCTGCTGGCTTCTCCTTTTTGGCCACGTTACCACCACCATTCTTCTTTTGCGTTTGTTGCTTATTGTTGTTGTCTTCCTTGCGCTCTTTTTGCTCCTGCTTCTTCAGCTCCACCACATCCTTGGGTACCTTAGTCTCGAAGCTATTCAAAGCGGGTGTTTCCTCTAAGTTGGCTGGAGCTTTAACGGCCACAGTTTCGTTCTTGTTGACCAGGATACCTGCGGTCTTGTTGTTTGCTCCGTTGCGCTTATCCTTTTTGCCTTTTTTGCCAGCAACGGACGGTTGATTCTCTTTTTCGGCCACGCTGCTGGGTCGACGCTGCTCATTCAGGATTTCTGCATCCGGCTCGAACTCAACATGCTGCTTGGATAGACCGGGTTCCTCATCAGCGACCGATCCCTGACCCTCCGACTGACCATCGGAGTAATCCTCGGGCTCTTCGGGTTCCGGTTCGTTGCTCACATCCCGCTGCTGCTCTCGCTGACGTTGTTTCTTCTCGCGTTTAAGATCCTTCTTCTTGGGCTTCTTGGTAGCCGCTCCACCGGCTGCCTTGTAGAGATTGGCGCTCAGGGCACGCTTCTCGGCCACCACCTCCTCAAAAGTCTTGCGCCGGAAAATCTTATTGATAAACAGGAACGAGAGCAGCGAGGCGCTGAACACACAACCGATGACAATCAGTATGTGGAAGTCCATATTAGCATAACTTTCCGGTTCAGCCGTGGGTTTTTATCAGGGATCTCCTTTGCGAAAGCTATCGATTTAATAGAAATACGCTAATTAATGTGCGTCAACAAATAAATACTTTTTATATATTTATCTTGAAAAACCGAATAAATTCATCAGAAAGTTATACAATTTAATTAATTGCGATGAATAAAACAGATAAAAGAACCAATTACACGTATTTTAAACTATCACACAAAATAAGCAACTCATACAAATTAATTGAGTCTTTTGTGATTTTTTTTAATCATATAATCAGAACTATGATTATAAAATATGAATATTTTTTATATGTTCACCCTTCGTTAGCAGTTTTAATATGTTCATAAAGACATATAAGTGTATTTCCTATATGGGGAATCGTAATAATATTATTATTTTAATATTTGCTTTTCGATATTTTCTAATGCTCATTCAACAATTTTTTATAAAAGGTAATGTAAAAAGGGGAAAACCGCAATTACTACCACGTTTTCAATGAATCGTTTCTGAATAAATCCACTAACAAAGCAAAAAATAATCTGAAGTGTGGAAATGTTAGAAATGCTTTTTAGGGTCACTCGTCTACACTTTTGCTATCAAACAAAATTGTTGAAAATGGCTTTCAGCTCCTCTAGCATTATCAGTTTTAGTACTTCCACTAGTACAAACTGATGACGTGGAGCTAAAAATCCGAAAAATGGCAAAGAAATGCCTTTTAAGAGGCAGATGAACGACACTACGTTCAAAGGCAATTATGCTATATATAGTCGAATTGTTTGAGTTGTACGTGCTTATCAGTTTACCGGGCGGTGAACGGACCAAACCCATATAAAAACTCTCTTTTTGTATGATTAAGTTGTTATTGCAGTTGCCTGAGTTTGCTTGACGTGATATTAATAAAACTGCCTGTAGCTGATATTTTATTATTATTTGCAGAGATAAATAAATGCACTGTGGGATGGCGCAATGTTTCTGGAATTCGGATTATACAGTGTACATCCGTTTGCCCAACTCGGATTAAAATTCAGATGAATTTCAAATGAAGTCAAAAAGGTCACTTGGATGAATTTGATTTGACGTAGGATGGGCAAAAGGAAATTCCCGCTGATATAATCGATTCCTCCCAGAAAGCAGGCTAAATATGTATTCCAAGGAAGCACAAAATAGCAGAGAAAGTCTCAAAAGAATAAAATTAGCTTATGGAACAGCTGCTGTGCAGCCTTGAACGAAAGTTAGTAGTCATTTGCTGCACCCAAAGGTGTTGACGCAGATTAAAAAACACAAGACAAATCGAAACAAGAATAACAATTTAAAATAACGCACAAAGTCAAGATTCTGACGCACACGTATGCAAATTTGCCGATGGAAATTGGCTCACTGGAAAAAATGTAGCACTGGTAATCTTCTCCGTAAAACTCAGCGGACACGAACGAATGGTAAAAGGCGAGTGAAAAGATTCACAGCAGAGCTGGCTTGCGATTCGCGATCTTTCTTAGGCTCTCCCACTTTGTACACTTCAAACAATTTTATAATCGATCAGATAAGTTATTTGTCTTTTTTTAAAATAAGTTCACTTTATGTCGGTATGCAACCTCAAATCGGTAAGAGACCTTTGAAAATGTTATTTTAGCTTTACATTTTTGGAAATGTAATTCTTAATACACAAGGAATCTTTAAATAAACTTAAAAGAAAAAAACCCAAAGCACTAGTGGATAAAATTCCTACAAAAATATATATAATAACACAAATGTACATTTCTAGTTTTAAACTTCCAAGTTTGAGAATAACCAAATATTGTTCGCAAATAAAATTGAAAGTTTAACTGGTTTATTCTCCGTGTGCTTACGCTCTTTCTCTGGATGTGGACTCTCTGCCAATTTTTTTCTCCCACCACAAACAGTTAGAAAAGAACTTGAAATTTCGCTGGCTCCACGAGCTCAGTGGAAGAATTCACAAATTGCAAAAATTTCAATTCAAGGTTGTTGCTCTCTACGATAACTGGCAGGTCGGGTATTTATTTTTCTCTTCTTATTCATTCTACTATGCTTGCTCGCGTCATGTTTCTGGCTAAAAAATTCTGATTGTGTTTCGGCTTTTATTCACATCTAAACTTGACAATATGAATTTATATACATGTACTGGACTACGTGATATTCTCCAAAACTACAGGTGAATTTCTTTAGTTTTAAGATGTTTTAGTTTAAGCCTGCAAAAGTTAAAAAAATATTGTTATTTTGATGGTTTATTTAGATGGTATGCTGAATTTCCTCTGCATTTCAAAAGAAAATCTGCCTAAAGAAAAGTTCTCAAGATCTTCTTTGTTGCCACTTCAAGAAATTTATTGTAACTTCTTGAGGAATTTACAACTCCACTTGCGTACTGTTTACCCCCCGTATTTTTTGTTTGCCTATTTGAGGCTTTCTTTTCTTTTATGGGTGGGCTGTACAAATACCAAAGTATTTGCGCTACACAAAGTTCAATTAATATTTAATGACAATGAGAACGGGTTTCCTTCAAACAAATCGATGCCATTTAACGGAAAGTAAGTAGAGCAAGTCCGGACGGCGGATTCCGGGCGTAACGCAGAGAAGGAAACAGCAGAAGAGAGCCAAAGAGAAGCACAATAAAAACGCCGGTAAAGGTCATCAACCGGAAGAAAAGCGCCCGTGTGTGAGTGACTTGCCAGCGTCTGCGGGTCTGTGAGTGTGTGAAAGTCGAAATCTTTCTGCCAATTATCATTATGGCCATCTATAAATAATTATGTATTATGGTCGGCCAGCATGCAAAACACGCTGGCTGCTCGGCCTCGTTACAACCAACCGACAAACTGGCATCGAACTGCACAGTTGGCCTAATTTTTCCTTCTATCTTTCTGTGCCGTTGTTTCGTTTCCCTCTCCTCCCTCTCAATTAGCTGCCTGTCCGCCGCGAACTCACACACTTGCAGTCGAGCGCTGGCACATGGAATTTCTCTCCCATCGGTGAACACCGGTCAGAAATGAGATATTGGCTTTTTTAAGGTTTATATAAAGGCAGATGTTTGTGGGTCAAGTATACGCCCCATGAACCACCTCCCAGCCATTGAAGTCTCCAATTACTGCTAACTTTGAACTAAGAAACTAAAATAATATCTTCAGAATTAGATTCGGATTCTGATTGAAATATTAGCCACAAGTGAATATTAGGCGAAAAAAACATATATATTTTTAATCCATGAATAATGAAAAAAAAACCTGTAGCTGAGATACAACTGCGATTTAAGGGGGATTTTCAAATTAAATTTCTCTCGTTTTCTCATTTCTTGTACATACTTAATGTATACTACAGAGTATAAAGTAAACAAAATTGTAAATTATATAATCCTAATCTATTAACGAATTTATAGACTAGACTTTTTATAGCTTTCTTTAAAAGCAGCAGCACTGATAACGGTGCAGTTGCTTTTCTTGTTCTCTTTTCCACTTTAAGCGAGAGCGTACTCGCACTCATTCATTATTTTTCTTTTATTTATTCATAAATGCATTTTTTTGCTCTGCTATTTTCAGCGGCTATAGTGTATTAATTTTAGAAAGCTCTGCTGCTTGTTTTTCTTTTTTCCTGTAATATTTATGCAACATGCAATGCTGTTTTATTTTCTTCTGTGCGAAAGAGAGCGTGGCATGTTTTTTCCTTGTGTTCTTATTATTCCTGCGTGGGAGCGTCAAGTTCGTTTCCCTAATTTTTGGTCCACAGATGGAAGGTTGCTCTAAAACGGGTGACTCATAAAGCCTATTTTTAGGCAAACTGATATTGTCCGAATTTGACGGTTAATGGTTATTGATTGCTGACGTAGACGACAGTATTTGTTGATTATCAATTGGTTTTCCCCGATGACGAACATTTTAGAGTCTATGATTTATTGGATTTATTGCAAGCCGCTCTCTTTCACTCTCTTTTAAGCTCTCTTTCCCTTCCCTTTGATAAGCCCGCATATGTGGTTGTGGTGAGGTCAGCGCATCAATTATGCTCATTTCTCGTCTTTTCTTTGATAAAATCGCTAAATAATGAAATTATGGGGGCGGGGTAGGGGGGCCAGAGCAGGCCAGACGGCGCCCGAAATTTTTGGCAAATCAAACAAGTCACCTGTCCCTTTTGCTCATAATTAAGCAATGATAAGTAGTGAAAGTATGTCGGCCGTTAATTGGCAGCTTGAATAATTGCACACCGATAAATAATAGTGGCTTCCTTTTTCCTTTCAATTGCAAGACAAAAGGGCGTCGCACCGCACTTAAACCTACATACACCGCTCCCCCTTTCTTTCTCCCCCTCCTCCTAACAGCTTCTCTCCTGATTTTAAGCCACTTGCAACGTCAACAATTTTCACATTTCACATTTACAATGCAGTCTTTCTTTTTCTTTTTTTGTTAAAAACGCATCCGCCATTTGCAAGCCACTTGTGTATGTGTGTGCCGGAGTGTGTCCTATCCCTGTGTGTGCAGCGTTGTCGCGTCGGCAGTTTTTCTTCACTTTTTCTGGCCTTTAATTCGGCTTTACTAAACTCCTTCTTACTTGCAAATTAGGGCTTACACTGTTCTTAGGCCTTTCGGCTACGACTTACACTTTTTCGTTTGCGTTTAGTGGGAAAATTGAAACATTTACAAATCAGAGTGACCGTTCCTAAACTCTAATATAATCCAGGCATTCACAAAATGACCCTAAGTATAGACAGTTAGCGGCGGTACGAACCATGCTTAATAGGTAAAAGCCAGGTTAATGACGTGGATTGAAACCAATTGGTAATTCAAACTCAATGAATGAAAGATTTTGTCGATATCATGGCATGGTCACACTGATTATTTCACTTACCAAACCCAGACCAAACATTATTGTTTTTTCTCATTAATAGTTTGTCCCATTTTCAGTTAAAAACATGGCATCATTTGCCAAGTCAATAGTGCTTTTAGTGTCCTTGGCCACTTTTGGGTATTCGCTGTACGTGGTGGGCCACTTGATGATATTTCTTTCCACACCCCGCTCCATTTCAAAGGCGCACACCTGGATTTTCAATTTACTGGACAACAAGTCGCGCCTGGAGACCGCCTATGGACCCGTGGTGTTCGACACGCTCTACCTGATGGGATTCATCTTCCAGCATAGTTTTCTTAAGTCAGCCCTGGTCAAGAAACTGTTGGCCAACTTGGGTTTGTCGGGGGCAGAGCGTACTATTTATAGCCTGACGTCATCGATTTGTTTACATGTTTGTATACCCTCGAATTGGGCAAAAATAGCTTTTAACTTTGTCTTTGGATATTGCAGTATTTAATCGTCAACTGGCTGCCCGCACAATCGATTGTTTTGTGGCAAATCGACGTGGACGAAAGTGCACCTCTTTGGTGGACCTTTGTTATAACACATGGATTATGTTGGGTGGTGATCTTCGGAGGGAGCTTGGTCATGGATCTTCCAGAGCTGCTGGGCGTCAAACAGGCCTACTACGATCTCAAGGCCTATGGTCCGCCCATAAACTATAAGTCTGGAGAATTGCGCAATCTGTATGCACATGTGAGGCATCCCTCGTTTGTGGGTCTGTCGGTTATTCTATTCGCCACCAACGTAATGAGCGTGGATCGCTTGGTCCTGGCCCTGCTTCTGACCACCTATATGTACCTAGCCTGGTCCACCGATCACAAGGATGTCGCCTACCAGAAGTTGCAACTGCAGCGCAAGAAACTCGAACTCAAAGCCAATTAAAATTCATAATGTTCTCACTAAGATTTAATTTTAAGTTGACAAAAGTTTCTATTAAATAAGGATTTTTCTAACACTTTGATTTCAAATTCAATTTTTAATATATTTAAATAATATTGGTATTAATTGAGAAAATAGTTTAAAAAGGTCTAGATTTTCAAAAGGTTTTTGATTTACCCGTTGGTTGTTGTTTTAATGGCTAAACATTTAGGTTTTTAACACTTTATAGCAAATAAATTTATTTATTAAGTACTGACGTGACGTTCCAATGCAATTAAAATACCGCAAGTTACATCTGTTGTCGACATACCACTTACCACTTATTAAAATCTAACTCATTCTTACAATTGAAGGATCAAAAGGTTGTCCTTTAAAGGGGGAACCTTCTACATCCCATGCAGTTCTTAAACGATCCATGGTTATAACTTGCTCGGGGTTCGAAGTTCGAATTTCATTTTGCTCCTTATCCGCTTCCAGTTGCTGAACCCTTAGCTTTTCAATAGTGGCTTGGGTATCCTCCGGTAAATCATCTATATAGCGTTCGCATTTAATCTTTTTAACATCGATTTTTGGATCGCTTTCGAAGAGACGCTCCCACCAGAGCTCCTTGGCTTTATCTTGAGGAATAATTTGAAAAAATTTGTTAACGTTTTTAGAGGTAATTTAAGGCAGATACCAACCACAACTAATGAGCAATCGGTTCTGGTCAATGGTCCATACAGCCTCGTTATGTTTGATCCTCTCGCTGAGGTTTCCCTCAACGATTACTACCTCCGGACTTAGTTTGCTGCTCACTTTGATGTGCTGGGCCTTGATTAAAATATTGAGCTTCTTTGCAGCTTCAAGGTCCTTGGGAAGGTGAACCTGGATCTCCATATCTTTTAGGGTCTGTGACCAACAATGGGTTTCAAAAACAGATCCATTTTTATAGTCACTAGGCGAGAAAGTGGTCTCCTCTTTGCGTTTTGGTTGTAGTACCATTCGTATGGTACTTTTAACTTCCTTTTGGGCTTCTTTACTTGCCAAGATCACTTCTTCAATGGCAGGTGGTGCAGTTTCACCATCATCTCCTGTGGCTCCATCTTCAGCGGTCATAGTTTGGAGCCAGCAGTCCGGATCGTAGCGCTGCATGGCGCCATATAGAATCTGATCCCTCATGCCCTTGGGGAAACCTATTTTATCTGATTCATCACTTTTTGTGTGGTAAAAATCAGTACTAAAACCAAACAAGAACATTCCATAAAATTAGAGTTACAATTTCGGAGAAATAAATATGCACCTGCGCCGCAGGAAACCGAAAATCGAGTCCAGGAATCCGGTGATGGTTTTCCGATCCTGTAGGATCTCCATTAGCATAGCATCGTTTCGCTGAGTGTCCATTGTAAACAAATAAACAAATCCAGGCCGGTACACAGTCTACAGCTGTTTTGCCCTCCGATAAAAAAAATTTGCAAATAGCTACAATGTAGCTAAATTTACTTTAAAGACAGTTAACTATATTAAAATAGATTATAAATAAAAAAGTCATTAGTGCTTAAATTTATCTTATTTAAAACGAAATACATAAATAACTTTAAAAGTAGCTAGATAACTTGTCGTTAAAAAAAACAAGTTGACAGTGCTGTCTTATAAGAAATTTATCGATTGCAATCGTGTTGCGAAGTTGCTTTGGAAATCCTTTCCTAAATTATAAATTATTAAAGTACTCACAAAATGATCGGTAGATTGTCTTTTTGGTACAAAGACAACGTTTCTAACGAGGTGGATTGCGTGGCCTGTCGTTTGGTCAGTGGAATTGGTCTTCTTGGGATCGGTGCATTTCTTTTGGCGCAATCGAAGAGGCGTCCAAAACCTCTGGAGAGCAACATAATGAAAAGCCTGGCTGCAGGTAAGCATTAACTTAACTTGTCATATTAAAATCCGGTTTTCTGATAATTCTCCTCCATCCCCAGCCGTCGGATTAATAGGCGTGGCCCGTCTGGCAGATGCGAATTTCCTAAAAGCAAATGCCGAGGAACCGAAGGAACAGGAAACCAAGACTTCAAAGACTACCAGTGATCACCAGTTCTTTTTTAGACGTTAGTTAAATAAGTTCTTTAAATATAGTTGCGAAATCGTCCTCTTTGTCAACATTTAAGTATATGACTAATAAATGTAATGGGTTCTGTTTTCGGAATTTATCATTATTATAAATATATGTGCAATCATTTTAATTCAATATAGATTTACGGTTTTTTGGAAAATTTTAATAAATACCTCCAGGTTTTAAGTTCATGTTTACAAATAGTTTAAGATGACAAGGGATCTTGAACCTTTTTTAATGAATAAGCAAGGATATATATAGGCCTATATGACAATATTTCTTCTAAATAATAAAAACAAAATTTTTATGAATTGCATATGGTTCAAGTTTATATTTGTAAGCTAATTCATATTATGTTTACTTTGATTTTTGTATCATAATTTATTACGAATTACAAATTACAAATTCTCTTGTTCCTTGCTTCTTGATCACATGATTTATAATTGATTCATTTAAAGCAGTAATAATTTTACAAATGCGGTTTCTTGACAGAAACACCAATAATTGTTCTTTACTAATATGAATCTCACGGAATTGTAAATTATTGGATCTTTAGCAGATCTATTCACTGTAAAAATTGATAAATAGGCCTATACAATCTTGTTTATTGGCTTCCCGTGCTTTTAAACTCCTAAAATCCCACCTTGCCCAACTTGGTGTCAGTCTTTGGATTGGCCGTGATATTCTGCACCGCCACAATTGTTTCGTTAATGTGTGTCTGCAGCTGGCGCAGGCTCTGGATCTGGAGAAGACGCAGGATGCGCATGGGTAGGTCCAGGGCAGGATCATTGGACGAAACCACGTCGTTTCCCGTGTCGAATGGGAATGGTGTGCCCAAAATCGGCTGCCGTCCCTTGGCGGCGGGCGATAGACGTTCATGCACCACCCGAGCAACCGCCTCCAATTGTAGCAGGTGATTTGGGTGATGCGGCACGTCCAGTTTGGTGGCCAGCAGGCGCACACCATCCACAAACGCCTTATCCTGAACTAGAGAAAAGGAGATGGTTAGAACTTTTAATGCACGATCAATTTCACAATTGCATGCTGATATTTTCACATTTCTAATTGATTTCATCCATAAAAATATTATTACAAATAATTTGTTTCATAACATTTAAGTGTACTATACTAAAGAATTCTGATTATAGCTAAAATAAACAACAAAAAAAAATGAAGCATGAAGGCTGAAACCAACAAAAAACCTTTGGAGACATGGGAAAAATCTTTACCATTGATCTTTCCGTCGAAAATGGACTGGACCTTCTGGTGGGCCTGTTTGCCATTGCTTTGGGTTGGATCCTGCTTGCTGTTGATCGAAGCAAACTGGGCAGGATCGTCTAGGAACTCGAGTCGCACGGCGTGACTGAGAATCCAGGACAGCTGCTCCTGTTGGGTTTCCAAGGGCGGCATGTTGAGATCCGCACAGTACTTCATGTAGCCCTCCTCCCACATCGTAGGATTGTCTATGTTACGCAGTTTTTCTCGATCCTCAATGGTATATAGTCGGATTTTCTGGTCTTCCACCCAAAGGATTGTGCTAGCGAATTCTTTGCGATCTGCGGGGGTGGAGCAATGAATTTTCGTTTTGCAATCAAAAAAAGAACACATACTGCTAAGTGCTACATCGTTGGGAGTGGGATGACCCAGGGCTTCTAGTTTCAATTTAAGCATGGTCTCCTATTACTGCTTTTAATACAGAAATCGATACGCTATGCTTGTTAACAAAATCGCACAGCCGGTAATGCTTCTTCTTGTCGCCCGGATGGATTGGAAGAGATGGAATTACTAAGGACGTGAGCTATCGATATTTAACTAAATAACTGCCAACTTGATCAAGCTATTTTTTAAAGTTCAGCCATGCTAACTTGAGTTATATATGTTTGTTTGAAAACCATATATGCTTTTTGCTTATTATTAAGTAATTAAGAAAAATTCCTTAAACAATTCAAGAGTTTTATGCACCTAACACCCCTTATTTAATTTCAGTTAACTTACAAACTGGTGTGAAATTTTAGTTATTATAAATCCCATTTAGAAACTAGTTTAAGCAAAATTTTTAAACTTTTATGTTCAGCATTTTGCAAATAAATTGACTTAGATATAAAATCTTAATATGCTACGATATCAGAGAATATACCATCTTAATATACTACAATATCAATACCATATGAAGGTTTGTGTTACCGTATAAAGTTAAGATTATATTAATATTTGGGTTTTAACTATAGCCTGCTTGACAAAACGATGAGATGGACAACTATTCAGAAAGCGATTCCGCACGGTAACGCAGCTTTTTAGCATAATGGTAAATGTTACTGGCTTTCCAGAAAACACAAAAGCGAAATTTCCATTTTCGGTCTGATCCCAATGTAATGGATCCAAACAAATAGTATCTTCTTAAGTATCTCTTTAATAGCGATATACTTATCTTTCCGGTTTGCTCCAATTGTGGCGTCGGCTGTGTTACCCGTATATCTGCTGTTCTTCTTTTCGTTTTGTTCTCCAGTTTCTTTCTCGATCTTAACCAGCTTCTTGTGTGTCCTTTTAAAATTTTCTACTCAATCTACCCAGTATAGGCAGGGTTTCTTTTTGAATCGCCAGGATATTGGCAATGTCTTACACCAGGAAACAAAGGTATACCAAAAGGTCTACTGAAATGTTTTATTCGTCTACTTTCCAATAACCCTTTAAAGGCGTTGAGAAGAACGAATATATATTTTTTTAAATATGAAATAAAATGGTAATCATTTTAGGGTCGAAATATGAAATAAAATGGTAATCATTTTAGGGTCGAAAACTAAGTATCCAATCTATCCATTCGCGATAAGAAACAACAAAGACAAAGGCTGTATTGTATATCATATATGTATGTATATTAATTAAATAATTAAATTAAGTTTGAGGGACATACATTTACATCCTAGCAAATTATAGACTAATAACTACACGTTATATATCGAGATGCTGAGTTATAATATTTGTTTGCAAACAACTACACGAATACACGTATCAACAGCAGCACTTTTCTATTATCTCTCAATCTCTTGTAGTTCCTCTGGATCTAGACAATCGCCCCGAAGTAGAGGAGGATTATTAGAACTAGAAGCTAGAATCAGGAGATCGACAGTTCCTGTTCGTTCTCTTATGTAGCACGTTAATTATATGTGAGAAAGTTTAGTATACAAATTGGTGCACCCACACATACATGGTTGTTTTAAAGGTTTATTGGTTTCCTAACGCCAAGCATTTTGGGTATGGGTGTGTTGTTAGTCGTTTTTGCGTGCTTCTCTACAGCTTTAGTTTGATTTGCTTCGCTTCGCTTTTTGTGTTTTATAGCATTTTATGGTTGTGTTTTGTTTTCTTGGTTTTATTTATTTAATGTTTTAAATTAAGATTAAGATAAAAACCTAATTATTTATCTTGTCATTTACGCCTTAAGTAAGTTCGATATAAAATAAAATGAAGCAGCAGCACTTCCAGCAAATAATACAGTTAACATACAAATTACAGCATTATGATGTTACATTTTTTGTTTTTTAATTTTTTTTATATGCAATATGTATGTATATGTTATGTATATTTATATCACCTAATTTGATTTTAATTTAAATTGTTTGCCTTCATTTTACGGTTTGTTTGTTTCGCTTAATTTCGTGTCGATTCGCCTCCGAGTTATGCGATTAAAACTAAGAAATTGGAATTTTCGCAGACTATCCATACAACATACACATAAACATAATACAAAATGCAGTGCTGCCACTTACATGTGCCTTGTAACATTGCGTAAAAAAACAAAAATACAGTGAAATTTACATAATAGTTAAGTATGTACAATTGTTTTAATCTTCCCCATTCTTCATTTTTTTGCGTTGCCCTAGTCCACATACCACATAAAATCCATTAAACTGCAATACATTAGGTCATATTTTGGGATCGCACACTGTATTGGTTAATTTTTAATATTTCCTTATGCTTTTTGCTGTTCAGTTTGTTCAGTTTATGAGTTCCTATGCTCCACATTGCGGTAATATGTAGTTATTAGTAAGTGGTAGAATTTAAAAACTATTCTCTATATATTTATATATCAATGTCTATATGTACGTATGTATGCATTCATCCCTTTTACATACACAATTCATTCTCATGCAATTTAATGTTAATTTATGCATTTATTTATATATATATTTAATATACGATAAACCATAGCGTGCGTATGCATATGTATGTGTTAGTTATTCCTTCTCTCGCGTCCTTTCATTTTTATTAAATTTAATACAATAAGTATGCTGTGTGCTTGAATTTCGCGCTCCCCATCATTATCTTCCACATTATGTTCGTCTCAATAAGAATCTCCGATCGGATCGATCGATCTGTCTGTATCAGTTGTTCTGTTCTAGTTTTCGCCCTGAACAGTTTTTTATATCGGTATTATCATAATTTTGCTGCTGCAATTGCTTAATGCTTAGGGTTTAGTTATAATATTTACTATTTTTAGATTTGAGTGAAAAAATATACAGTTGTTATTGTATTGACTGTTACAGTGATGGTGAGGTGAGCCATTCCACCTGCTGAGTTCCCGTTTACGTATCCTTGGAGCTCGGAGACTGCCTTCATCCCTGTCGTGACTATCTCCTCGGCGCCATTTAAGTAAATTTACATGCCTTCTCTTCATCGATTTAGGGATCATCTCCTGCCCTTGCGCCCCGAAGCTGCTCCCGGGCGCGCTGTTACTCCATCCAACTCCAGCTCAGTCGACTGCCCCTCGGGGGGTTCGTGGCCAGTAGTAGGACGCTGGCATCATTGTCGTATACTACGCAACGGCTGTCGTTGTGCCTGCATTGGTTGGCGGCGGTGCCGCTGGTTGTGCCACTGCCGCTCCGGCGGACACACTCGACGAAGACGTGGGCGGGACAACGGAAGCCGCTGCCGCCGCCGCCGCAGCTGCTGCTGCCGCTGCACTTGCATTGCTTAGAGCCGCAGCGGCCGCCACCGCTGCAGCCGCCTTGCTCACCTGCTGCTGATCACTGGCCATTGTTGCTGCTGTCGCGGATGTTGCACTCGCTGATGTTGCAGCTGCTGATGTTGCTACTGTTAATGTAGATTGACTGCTGATTGCACTGCTGCTGTGACTGCTGTTGGTGGTGCTGTTGTTCGTCTGGTTGCTGCTAACTGTGCCGCAGCTGTTGCTGTTGGTGCTACTGTTGCTCACGTCGTTGAACGTCGCTGCCGGCGGCAACTGCTGGCTGCTGTTGCTGCTTTCATCGTTTACCACTGCGGTGGTGGCTGCTGATACTGGCTTCACCTCAACTGAACTCGTTTCCGCTGATGTCGATTCCGCTTTTACTGACGCACTTCCTCCTGAACTGGCAGCTTGTTTTTCCGCCGCGCCAGGACGCAGCTGTTGTTGCTGGCGCTGCTGCAGCAGTCGAAACTCCACCGAGTGTATGGGTCCGGTCCCTCGCGACACTTGGTAAAGCACCCGCGAAATAATTAGAGCCACCTGCTGATCCAGAATGTGGGACATGACCAGGCCAAGGAGCCGCTGCTCCTGTTGCATGAACAGCGACCGGTTGTCCGGATGCTTGGCCAGATGGAGCAGGGTTCCGGCTGCTCGCCGCAGCATGTCCAGGCTGGTGCCCATTGAGTCCGGATTCTCGCGCAGGTAGTTGATTCCATGCTGGTTCGCAACACCCAGAGCCGTCTGTTCGGCCTGTTCGATGAAGGCTACCAAATAGGAGATGCACGGGGACTGCAGAGCCACAGTGCGAGCCATGGCGCTGTCGGCGGCGGCCAAGTAGTGCAGCAGGTTTACGGAAAACTCCCGAAGCACCTGGTCCTCGTTGCGGCACAGATGCCGGGTAAGCACAGCGCACAGCTTCTCTAGTCGCGAGAATGGGGGGGTGGCAATGACCAGATCCACGTTAGCATCAGTGACGCACAGCTTGCAAAGCGCCTCAAGTGCCAGGCGCTGCGGCGAGAGCGCTGTATTTGGACCACACGACGGGAACGGATCCTGGCCATGAGCGCTGGGACATACGGCCCAGTGGAGCAGTCCGTCGATCAGGGGGCGGGCAATCAGCTCATCGTAGCGAGAGAGCTCCAAGTGACCGGCTATGTTGGCCATGGCAACCAGCATGTTCTCTCGAATCGTGATTAGGTAGTCCCACCACCATTCGCGCTCCCCTTGCAGCGAGCTGCACGAGTCACTGAAGTCCGTATCCTCCTCACGGTCGTAGTTTCGTGTCTTCGGGGTGCGCCTAAGATGTTCGTGGTTCAGGAGGAGCAGTCGTCCGAGCACCGCCAAGAACCTGGTGGACTTGGCCAGCACCGTCTCGTTGCCGGGCACAAAGGTCAGGTTGCGGAAGATGTTGGAAAGGGCGATGCAGCGCCGCGCCAACGAGTCTTGGCTCTCGTTGACCAGGTGCAGCGACGCCTCGTCTCTTGTGTAGCACTCATCCTCAAAGCTTGAGTCACGCCTCCGCTGCAGCACCTGCGCTACATCTTTGGCTGTCGCCCGGGGATCAAAAACGGCGGGAGTCGAGGAGCATGTTGCAACGCCATTGGTCAACCGTTGCTGGGGTGCTTCGATATCCATGTCGATGGGGCGACAATCGCTGTCCGCCGAGCCCGGTTCCTTTTTCACATCAACGTTTGGTTGGGCGAATTCCTCACTGGTCAGCTTGGACTTTTTGCCCTCAGCGGGTGCCCCACTGCTGCTGCTGCCGCCACTGACCAGTCGCCTCTTTTTGTTAAACGCCGGTTCCTCTGAG